ATTATTTTATTATTTTGGAATAGAGGCGTCCCTCAAACCCATATTTTTTTTCAAACTATATATTCAAGTGTTCATTTTTTGTTGGATCCTGCGCTTCTACAAACTTCTAATCGTAGATTTTAAATTATCCCTAAATTTATTTTGACCTTTACCCATTTAAAGAATTTAGTACAGTACAAACACCTAGGGTATTCTACGCACTGGATGTTTATTCAGCAGGACAGTACCCAAAAACTGTTGTAGTAATTCTGCTTCTACCTTTTCAGGTGAGAAATTCTTGTCTCTGCATCCACAAGAGCTGTACTGTATTAAACCCCTGCTGTTTTAGCATGAAAAAACAGAACCTGAAAGGTTTGATTGTTTCCTCACACACTCTCACACAGTCACACCTATTTTAAGGCCTATTATATTTTTTTATTTTAACCAACATAGACAAAAAACACCTATCGTGTACACTTTGGAGTCTCAAACTCCAAGCCCTCGCACGCACCTGATACCCAGATGCCGTATCTGTCAAATATCCCTGCTGCGGCAGCTGCAAACCTTACTATCTCGAGAACAACACAGAGTCCCATACTCTAAGGCAGAGAATACTCAGATGCCATATCCGTCAACAAGACTTAGTCTTGTCAAATATTCTTGCGATTACAGCTGTAACTTAAATGGTCCTAAGCCAGATTTTGATCAAAAGCTTCAGGCCTACCCTTTGTCGTGTAGAATCAGTTCCTCTGGAGTCGTCACCAAGATGCCCAGGGCAGGGTTGGACCAAACTGGCCCCGTCCGGCGAAGGGCGGACTGCTTTCGACAGATTCTTGACCTTGGTTCCACCGGGTCCTGGACAATTGGATCTTGACTCCCCGGTTTCGGCACCAAAATGTTGGGTTCATAAAATGTAGGTTTTTGCTTAAGAAGAACTGAAATACACAATTTATGGATACAATTTCTGCAGAAAGGAGAGACAGTTGAACCCCAGACTCAAACACACTGTCTCCCACTGGACCTCCTCTGCAGAGCGTTTATTAACAGAACATGACGCATGGTTACAAACACAGTATTGTTCTGACAGAACAATTGATCAGTTCATGAAGACAGAATGCTCCATCAGAATGACAAGGCAGGATGGTCTCCTGACTGAATCATGAGACAGAAGTGGAGCATCCCCTTGCAAAAATGTTTCATAAGCACACATTAATTTTATAATCATCATTGAATAAACCTAACATTTACTTCGCCCAGCCAGTAGTACAAGAAGGCCGCAAGAACCGGAAATTTAATTTATCGTGTCGACTAGTCATAAGCCTTATATTATGAGCATGACAATCCAGGAGGCCCAGATGGAACTCAAAAACATGGTGTCAAGGTTAAATGGAGGTTTTCGAGGACACAAATTCAGCGGAGAGGAGACAGTTTCAAGGGCAAAAATCAAAAAGTCCCCTTTAGGAAGTTCAACTTGTATCCTGAGAATGTACCAAAACCATTTAGCAATCTCACAATGTTGGAGATGGATGATACTGGGTCCGAGATGTAGAGTATTAAGTCGTCCACGTAAAAGGAAAGCGAATGTTCCCTCTGTTTTCTATAAATTTCCTTAAAGCTCTTTGAGGACTTAAGCATAATTGATAGTGGCTCAATAGCTAAATGGAAGAGGAGCGGCCTGAGAGGACAACCCTGCCAGGTACCCCTGGATAAAGAAAACAGCCTAGACCTTGTTCTGGTAGTGATTATACTTGCTTTGGGTGATGTATACAACAGATGTACCCATTATGTGAGTTTGGGCCCAAAGCTAGCCAACCAAATAGGTTGTGCCACTCGAATACCTTCTCCACATCGAGGGAGACCACAACCTCAGGGACTCCACCGATGCAGGAGAATTAAAAACCCAGATAAGCCTGTCTATATTAGAGAAAAAGTAACGACCCCTCATAAACCCAGTTTGATCTGATGAGAGATTATGTCTGCCATGGCTGCATCCAGTCTCATAGCAAGAAACCAACAACGCAGCAAGAGAGCTGACTCCTCCCCTCTATCATCTCAAACCCCATCACTATGCAGGGGACCAAAACATTTCACCTTGTCAGCCAGGCCAACAATGACCCTAAAAACTCCCTTTTCAAAGGTATAAGCAAGTATTGGTTATTTCAGGCAAACAATCATCACAAATACTAACCAAGAACCCAACAACTCCCCATTCCGAAGGGGAGGACCCTTTGGTTGTGCATTTGCATTTTTTCTAAGCCAAAACAAGGCTTTGTTTTGGTCCACTTAATAAAGCCTCAAACTCAATGCTAATCCTGACATTTTGAATTGAAAAAGCTTCCTGAGTGGGAGGCAAAATGTCTTCAAACTTGGACACAAACTCCATTGGATTGTTTTTTTTTTTAGTTTTTAAACTTTTTTTTAAATGACTGGATGACTAAGAATCTTCACCAGCATGCTGAGGCCTCCCCTCTCTTACACTGCTGCAACATACATCAGCCATAATAATCCATTTTTGTACCTTTCCCAGCCTAGCAGCCCCATCCGGCTCCCCCATGGATGCATGGAATCATATCCATACTGTTAAAACTTGCGATAATAATAAAGTAGAAAAAACAACACAAATCAGCAGGGTAAATGAAAAAGACATTTCTGAACCCATCCCTTATTAGAACCCATCCCAACTGTATCCTTGCTTCTCTTGTCGAAGCCAACACTGTCCCTTAAACACCACATTGGTCTTCCAATAGGCCATACCCAGTCCCAAACTGACTTTGGAAGGTTCCCAATAAACTTAGAATGTAGGAGTTACACGCTTTGTACAATTAATTAAAACAGAACCAGCAACTATAAACAGTGGGTGAAATGAGCGGGGGGGATTTGTACAATAACAAGCTTTATTATGAATGTGGATTTTGGGCTAAAATTCACTAAATTGTGAAAGCCAACAGCAGGCCATTAGAGCTAGGCAACAGACACTTAAATCTTTTACCTATAATAATTCAATTCTAACCCTTAGAGTAAGTGTATATGTGGATGCACCTTTATATATGGATATATAAGGTGCATCCACTTAAAGCTGAAATAGTGTTTTATCAAGGCATTTAATGCAGAGTACGCAGGCACAACACATAAATCATTAATTTGTTAGCACAACCATTTTCCTCTTCCTCTGGTTATTTTGCCATCTTATTCCATCCTCTCCATCCCTGTTGTATCTTGGGCACCCCACCTTGCCTAAAAAAAAATGAAATAAAAAAGTCTGCCAGATGTTTGTTTATTTTGCAACACTTGTTTATTTTGCAAAGCAGCGGTCATAGAACACCCAAGCTTCCTCCAGCATTTCAAATAAGTGGTTTTCGCCCTTAAATGTAACTTTAAGATGGACAGGAAAAAGAAGACAAACGACCCACCTCTCTTGTGAAGAGCTTCTTTAACACCGTTGAATGCTGACCTTTTCTTTGCAAAGTGATGCTGAGATCTGGATATATTATCAGGGTGGTTCCCTGATGCTTTACTTCTGCTTACGACTCTCGGGCATCTGTGAACAACTATCTATATCAGGGAGACTCCAGGAACTTCCAGGAGACTTGGGAGGTCTGATTTGATCATGCTAGCATTATCACCTTTAACATTTTTTAAATCCACATAAGATTCAGACGCCTCTGCTCATAAATTACCTTAAATTGATACGCAGCACTTCAGAGCAATTTGTTCTCTGCTCACTGCTAGCGGAGGATTAGACACATGAAATGGGTCAGGTCAGAAAGTGACTGTTTGTTTGAAGATCTAAAAAAACAAATTAAAAAACTGATTATTTCCTGACTTCTATACCCTTTTTATATTTTCCTAAAAAGCAGCAATTGGCAGAAAACCTGATTGTTTTTTTCTCAGCTCAGAAACCAAGACATATACTCATTCCAGTTGTTCATCAGGTTGACCTAAATAAAAGATTAAGTAATTATTTAACAATATATTACCGCAAAAGGGTATGACGTTTCAGGGGCAGGGAATACAGAAAAGTGTTTGAAACATGCTTTTGTTCTGATGATTGCTAAGTTTAGCCTGTCTCCATTCTCATGTACAGTCGCAGGTAATAGGTTTTTTTGGAGACAATGCAGTGGGGAGCTTGCAGGGAAACCTGAAATTTTTGGGACTAGCAGTGATAAAGAACAATCCACAAAATCAGGTTTAATTCATGTTTTTAGTTTTAATATGAGCATAGGTTATGGAAATAGTTGGACAGCAGGCATGAAATAGGGAACAACCACCAAAAAACAACAAGTGATCTTTATACTGCAGAGTGGTTATGCCATGTCACCAGATGGAAATACCAAATGCTTCATGTCTTTCAGTTGTCACCACAGAAGAGTCTATCTGAATCATGCTATTTAGAAAGTTTTGGATACAAAGATACCTTCTGTGATTTTTTTCTTTCTTCTGTGTTCTCCACAGTCAGACAGGAATTGAGCTAAAATATGAAAATTGTAATTATGTAATCTGCCAAATGTGTTGTCTGTAAATTAAATCCAAATAAAGTTCTCCACTAAGGCAAACATCCTGAGATATACAGTTCAATGATGTCAGTAAGTCATATTCAAACAGATCAAGATTCCAAAGAAACGTTAAGGTGAGTTTAGTTTTATTTATGTATTGATAATTAGTCTGAGTGATAGAACAAATTTTGATTTCATGTAAAAATAAATATTGCCAAGTAACATCTTTAAAAAAAAAAATCTAAACAGAAGAATCTATTTACATGGTTGTTGGAGAAAGTTATTTTTGTGATTTTAGATCTTATCAGTTTATTAACACTTGCTAAAGACCAACAATGCAGTTATGAGCATTTTGACTCAACGGAATGAAGAAGAGGTAGAAATCTGCTGAACACTGTAACTTTTTTTCCATGTTGTTTTTCTGCAGAACTTACAGCTCAGGTAAAACATGGAACGGACAGTACCTGCTGGTTCTTTTCTTGCTCCTCTAATGAGCAACTTGAATCAGTTTTAAGGTTTGGATGTGTCTCATGAAATGGAACAGGGTGACTTCGGATCTTCGTGATCCAGAAGCTTCTGAATCAACTCCTCTATTTCTCGCTCATGAAATTTCTGCAGGTTTTCAGTCTCCTGAGTATTTTTCCCTTTTTTTATTTGCTCTTCATGTCTTGTCAGCATTTCCTTGATTGTTCTGAGATGTTCTTTCTTTCTGGTGACACATTTCACCAAGTCAACGATTTGCCTGTGGTGCTTTGCTCTGCTTTCCTTCTCGCTGAGCTCTTTCAGGGCCTTTAGCACATCATACTGGCTATCTTTTTCTTTAAGCTGTATTTCATGCCCTTGTTTTTGTGCTTCAAGTTCTCGACTGTATTTTTCTTTGAATTCATTGAACTCCTCAGCTTTCTTTCTGGCTTCTCCCTCGTATTTTTCTCTGAGTTTATCAATTTTCTTCTTATATTTCTCTTCCAGTTCATCTTTGTACTTTGCCTCCATCTGTTTTCTGATATCGTTTTCTTGTTTTTGTTTATCATAATCTTGTTTCAGCTCCTCATACTTCTTTCTCAGTTCTCTCTCCTGTTCTTGTTTCTGTTCATCTTCTTTTTTGTGTTTCTCCTTTAACATTTTCACTTCTTTCTCCCAGGCCTCGTGTTTCTTTCGCATAGATTTATGTCTCTCCATCCCAACGGGTGATTTCGATTTTTTCATTTTTTTCTCCCATTCCTCGCTCTGAATTTTCAGTCTCCTTTCTTCTTCTTGTCTCCTTGCTTGTTCTTTCTTCTGATCTTCTTTAGCCTTTTGGAGGGTTTTCTCAATTTCCTTTATTTTTGTATCTTTTTCTTTCATTTCTTGTTCAGCTTTTATTTTTTGCTTCTCCATGTCATCTTTTTCTTTCTGATGACTTTTTATTAGTTCATCAATCTTTTTCTGCATCTCTTCTTCTTTTTCCTTCAGAATTTTCTTAATTTCTTTTCGTATCGCTGCTTCAGCCTCCTGCAGCATGTCATTGGTGAAGCAGCTGCCGCCATTATTCTTTACCATGTTGTCAATCTTGGTGATCAGTTCTGTGACCTGTGCACGGTTTTGTTGATTGTAATTATTAAAAACGACATATCTTCCTCCGCAGTCCTCAATTAGCCTCTTGAAGGACTCGTCACAATCCTTTTCAATGTATTCTTTAATAGATTTCTGATAATGTTCCAGTTTATCACCATGTGTAAAGAGGATGATAGTAAAGTCCTTAGATTTTTTCCCAAAGCCTTCCTTTAACAGTGTTAATGTCTTTTTCTCCTCTTCTGTTAACCTTCCAATCTGTAACACCAGCAGAAAGACATGTGGTCCTGGGGCAAGGAGACTCATACATTTCAACATCTCTTCCTGAACTTCATCGTAGGACAAAGTATTGTCAAACAGGCCTGGAGTGTCGACCACAGCCACAGGACGGCCATCAACTTCACCCTGGGCTTTCTGACAACGCTTTGTGACTGAATGTTGGGCTGGCTTGGCTTCAAAATAGTCTCCTCCAAGGATTGTGTTTCCTGATAAGCTTTTTCCGCAGCCGGTCTTTCCAATCAGAACAATCCTGAGACATGCCGTGTTTAGCTTCTCCTCCTCATCTGTAATAGAAAAGGGTGGCAGATAAGTTTACTTTGCATGTCTATTATAAGATCAGTTTGCTATTTGAATGGAATAAATAAATCTCTGTCCAACAGTATCCTACAGGGAGGAAAACTTGCTGTAAATAGTTAAATCCTCAGCAAATGCAAAAAGGTACTGCATGACAAAAAACACTGCAAACACTTTTATTTTGGAAAGTCTAAGGCACACCGGTGCAATAATCATGGTGTCTAATCAGCATCTTGATATGGTACACCGGTGAGGTTTGATGGATCATCTCAGCAAAGGAGAAGTGCTCACTATCACAGTTTTAGATTAATTTGTGAACAATATTTCAATTCAATTAAGTTTATCTCTATAGGCACTTTCCAGTTCACCAGATCATCCAGTCTGATTGATTCAAAGTTTTCTATCTAAGGAAATACAGTTGATTGCATCGACTGATTGAATCAAATGCAATCCCTCCCACTAATCATGCTTGAAGCGACAGTGGAGAGGAAAAACTCCCTTTTTTTCTCCAAAATCCAAATAAGACTGTGTTTTATAACTATTGATCCATTATGTAGCTTAAAAGTCTTTAGTAGTACCTACCAATGAAATCCTTTGTTGGTGTCTGGTTTGAAAGCTGTCCTTTAAGTTCGATTATGTTTTTCTCTTGTTTTATGACTTTATCCTTGTAGGTTTCAGCCAGGGTTTTTGATTTGTAGCATTCCTGTCTCATTTTTTCCACATAATCTATCACAGCGGAGAACTCCTTCCTGTCCCGACTTTTAACAACAACAAATCTTCCTCCACATGTCTGGATGAGCTCCTGGACCGCTTCATCTCGCTCAACAAATGTAACCACTTCTTGCTGTTTAGGATCTAAATCTGTAGTGAACAGAATCATTGTGTTTTTATTGACCCTGAAGCTGAATGTGTCCTGGATGGTCTCTAACTCTCCCTTGTCTTCATCAGTGAGGGGACCCAATGGAACGACCAGGATGAAGGCGTGGACACCCTCAGGTTCACAGAGGGAGATACACCTGAATGATTCCTCCATCACTTCCTGATGAGCTTTTCCATACAAGGCAGGCAGCTCCACCACAGAAACCCAACGTCCACGAACCTCTCCCTGGTTTCTAACACACTCTGATATCTTGGAGGCTGAACTAAGCTCTGTTTGGTCTAATATGCCCTTGATTGCTGATGTCTTCCCTGCTCCTTTTCTCCCACACACCACCAGGTTGACACAAGGCAGGGTCTGTTCCCATTTCAATATTTCTGTATCCTCAGTGATGGTAAGAAAACCTTTGTTTTTTTTCACAATATCTTCAATCTTCATCATTAATTTCTGGTGATCATTTTTGGTCAGGCTGTACTTTCTACCTTCACATTCTCTGATTAATGAATTTAAGGCAAAAGTTGTTTCATTCTCTTTCTCAGTTATGATGACCATTGAGTGTTTGAAGACATTCTCCCCAAACAAGCTCAGTGTGGCCTTCAGAAACCTGCTGTCCTTCTCTTTGAAGTCTGAAGGATTCACTAAGAGCAGCAGGACATTTGGTCCAGGAGGACAAAGACTAATGCAAGTTTCTAGTTCCTCTTTTGGGACTTTCTCAGAATTAAGTTCTGGAGTTTTCACCACAGACAACAACTTTCCATTCCAAACTCCATGATCATCTTGCCTAGCTAAAGGAAATGTTGGTGACTTTACATCTTTTTTCTCAATGATGAAGCTAGAGAGTCTTGTCTTGATTGATTGAGTCTTTCCTAAGAGCAGAATCCTGAGATATGAGACTCGTCCTGTAAAATAAAACAAACATTGCAACAATGAAATTAGTGGAAACAGTTCATTTAGAAGTTATATTTTTGAAGATGGTAAAAAAGATGTACAGTTATATAATTATATAAAATATTCAATTGAATTAAAATATGCAATTGTACAAAATCCTGCATTCAACATATGCTCTAAATAGCATGTATTCACTATTTAAAAAAAAAAAAAAAATGTGTCATATTTTGTGGGATGTACAAATTTTTTCTAGATAGCCCCTGCATGTGAGATGCCCTCTAAAGCCAAAAGTGTTCCCTTACATGCCTTGACTCACATATGAGGTTTAGTAACATCCCATTCCTCATCAATAGGGGATCATTTTGAAGTCGGGCCGCAATCTGCAGCAAGAACAGCTTCAATAATCAATCAGCTTTTCTATAAATGCTGTCCACAAGGCTCAGGAGGGATTTTACAGTAATTTATGACCATTCTACATGAGTCAGATTTGTGAGGTCGCACACTGATACAGGACAAGAAGGACCTGCTCTCAGTGTCAGTTCTAATTCATCCCACAGGTGCTCTATGGGGTTGAGATCAGGACAGTCAGGTTTATCCACACTAGACCTTGCTTTGCTCTCACAAAGTTGCTTTCTGAATCTAAGTGGAGAACATCAGCCTCAGTCTAAAATCCTTCCACTGGCTCCTCATATCTCAGAGAATAATATATAAAATACTTCTATTAGTCTATAAATCACTGAAGGGTTTGGCTCCAAAATTCATTGTAGACTTGTTTTCATTCTTGGATCTACTCTTTCAGCATCTCTAAGGTTCCTACAAATAATAGAGAGTGTTGATTCGCTTTAATCTAATTTTTAAATTAAGTATCTGGTATTTTTATTTGGGTTATACACCAAAATAAATACATTTTTTAAGCATTGCTTATTTGACTGCATTCTTTTCATAAATGTAAGCTGTATGGCTTGCCACACAAGATCTCTAAAATTAGATAAGGCAACTTTTAGTTTGGATGCTCCACTAATCTTGAATAAACAAATAACAGAAATCTGTAACCTTTGGTTGCTATAAAACAAATTAAAACTGTATTTGTTAAGCGTGGTCTTTGACTTTGCCATCTAAACATTAGTAGTTAATATAAATTATTGTAACATTTAATTTTTATTCTTTTTAACTTGCCATCTTGGCTCTATGCCACTGCAGTGTACTTTCTTTCTTATGTACAGCACTTTGTCTCATTATTATATTATCTTAACGCTAAGATGTGCTGTATAAACTTGCCTTGCCTTGCATTACCTTACCTAGCTGTACTTCATTTACTATGTATATCTGTAAGTAGATATCTGTACATATCAGTTGGAAATAGTAAGACCTTCTTTTGTAACATAGTATAAACTAGAAAAAAAAAACATTTAGGTATATTTGTTCTTGGTAAAATAAGACCAAAGTACCTAATGAATCCATTTAATTAAACATTTTAGGAATAAGTAAAAACTTACAATAGACTGAATACATGAATACATTGTGAAGTGCAGAGATGTCTTAAGAAAATTAACTCCAGGCTCTGATATCTTCATTGCGTCTGGTAATAATAAATAAATGAATATTCTGATCTTGTATAAATTGACTGATTCAAGCAGCAAAAAAATTTAATAAAGTAATACAAGACAGGATTCTTTGCAAGACTTACCAGTTGTAGAAACCAAACTTGAATAATCTTCTTTCTGTTTGATGCTGGGATGGTTCACTTTTAAATGCTTTTCATTGTTCATCTCTAAAATGTCACCAATGGTGTTCAGCAAACCATTGATGTTCTTGTAATCTAAAATGTGTGAGTTCTTTTGGCATCTTCTGATCAGTTCCTCTAAGGGTTCATTTGTAATTGGTACCCTCTGTGTTAATTTCAGTTTTAGAACCAACGAATGATTGAATGACTGATCACTAAAGAGTTCAAGAATCTTGTAGAAACTCTTCTTTTTTTCCTCCATGAAGCTTTCCATCTGAACAACCAGTAAGAACAAGTGAGGCCCAGGATCAGAGAGCCTCACACAATGATCTATGTGTTCTTTAAGTCTTTCTTCGGGCATCTTCAGAAAAAGCAGATCTGGAGTGTTTATCAGAACTACTTTTGTCTTCTGGATAGTTGTAGTGTGTTTACAGGAGAAATTAGGGTTTTCCTCTGTTTTGAAGGCAACTGTCCCCATAATAATATTTGCGATTTCACACCTTGTTGACCAGCTCTCCCCCAGCAGAATAAGCCGAACTTCTGCCACTGAAAAGAAATCACATGAGAAGTTACCATAACTGATCAACTCAATCAAAACAAACTCAGTTGACCAAGTGTGATGGATCAGGAAATCTGGATTTGTGTAAAAGACAGAAACAGTGCCACAGTAAGTAGTATGAAGTATGAAGTTAATATGAAATGGGCTATGGCAGGCCGTTTTTTACATTTCTTAAAAGCACTCTCTTCTCTTTTGTCCCATCTGTAGATCACTAAAATAAGATTGTTCCTGAGCAAAATCACATTCCTAGACTGAACTGTAATAATATATTTTCTAAATTACATTTTTGCAGCAGAAACTGAATTTCAGAAAGTAAAAATTGATACTTGTTAGAATAAAGTTTTATATATCTAGATTGTTAACACATTTTAAGTGGCTGTTTTGACATTTATCAACTTGGCTGAATATGTATCTATGATATCTAAAATACTTTTCTCCATAGTCAAAATAATACAAATGGAGACCAGTAACCATACAAATAGGGGGAGCATAAATTAATTTCTAGACATCCAGAATGTTTATACTAGATGTGATGATTGTCATTTTGTTTAAAAT